AACATGTCTTATCTTCTATTACTTGAATACTGTGGTGATGTACACCTTTTTTTTATTATATTAGACTGTCCTAGAAAGCTAGAGTTAATAAGGGGAGGCTTGCCGTTAAGGATAATAACTGACACACTATTATACACCCAAGGTAAATGGCCAAAGGACAAGGTGAGATGAGAATCTAGGAATTCTGGAAGAACTTCAATTGGTACTTTATGAGAGCAGATGTGCCCAAAGTCATGGAAAGGATGGGTTAAATCCCCTGGAAAAGTCCACAAAAATAAGGGATGAAACATCTCTCGGTACACAAAAGTCTACCCATCACTTCCGCATTTTCCAGGTCTTTGAAAATCTATGGGAAAAGCGTTTCATCCAGCAACACAGCCCTTCACGAGGAAGATAAGCTTGTGGTACAGAGACTAAATTAACCTGGCATAAGTGCAAACCTCGCACTGCTTACACTGCTGTGCAACTGGCTGTAAACAATTCTAATTTTAGGCAAATATATTTAACTGCTATTTCCTGAACAGCTAATGAAGTTGACTCTGGGATAGCTAAGACAGCCGCAACAAATCTTTGACTCTAGGGTCTAAGTGACTTCTCCATTTACAAAAATAAACAAAACAAAACAAAAACCTAAGCCACCACCTATACAGAATGAATAGTGCTAAGCATACCAAAGATCCAAAGCAAAACCAAAGAGCAGATTTTCAACATTTATTTAAAATGCCAAGAAAGTAGCTGCTGAACATGCAGCAAGTTTAGGGACCTAGAAGAAGACACAAGGAGAAAACTATCTTGCTCCCAGGCAACACGCCTCCTGCCTCACCCCAGATCCAGGGTCCAAGTTTAGATAAAACCAATATTGGATATTTTAAAGGACTGGATGATTATTAATAACTAAGTTCTTTATTGGATAAAGCACATCAAATTTTTATCAAGTTGTAGTATTTTTTTTGGATCCTTGGTTTTAAAAAAAATCTTTAGAAATAGTACCAAGGAAGGTAAGCAAGACTCAAGGTCGTATCAAAAACTCATCTCACACTGAGTATCACCAGCAACAGTGAGTCTTTGCTGACACATGCTGCCATGCGTCCAAATCTACATCAACTACTTTGGTAAAAAAGGAAACAGGAACACTGTAGAGTCACTCAACTCTGTCACTTTTTTCAACGGCTGTCTTAAGGGAGGGGATTAAAAAAAAATTATATATTTGAGAGAGAACATGAAACACTCCTTGCTGGACAGAAGGGTAAGTGAGAGACAGGTAAGAACTGGTGGAAATATTTCAGATTGTTACCGAGTGCATGGATGCATCCTAAGAAAGTGTGAACACAAGCAATATTTACAGTCTGAGCTGTTTTAAGGGCTTGCAGTCACAGCTCCTACACTTTGAAGTCATTCATAGTTTTCCAAAACTTTCCCTTATGGGATTGAAATTTGCCAAACACTATTTCTGCACAACGATAATTTAGATTTTTTTTTAAAAAGTGGATGGGAGGATAATACCCCAAAGCACCCTTTGAGTGACTGAAAAATGTTAAAAACTGTAACTGTTTTAAAGAGCTCTAGCCATAGACGATGCACAGGGGGGCACAGAGGGGCACGTGGCTCCCCGAGACTGGCTGGGGGCGGAGGCCGCGCCACCGCCTCCGAGCCTGGCTGTCGCGAAAGCCGTTGCCAGCTTCTGCGGGTGGTCCTCGCTCCCCCTTGCCACTGACAGCTGCGGGCAGTCCCCACTTGCTGCCATGGTGCCCCACCCAGTCGCAGGCGGTACCAGTCATTCATGGCTCTAGCACCAAAACGTTCAGAGTCTCCAAGTGTAGACGTGTGTTAGTGTGAAGACCTGCCTCCAAGAGGACACTTAGGAAAGGGAGGGAGGCTTAGGTTGGGTATTAGCAAAAACTCTCTCACTAGGAGGGTGGTGAAGCACTGGAACAGGTCACCCAGAGAGGTGGTGGAGTCTCCATCCTTGGAGGTTTTTAAGGCCCAGCTAGACAAAGCTTTGGCTGGGATGATGTAGCTGGGGCTGGTTCTGCTTTGAGCAGGAGGCTGGAGTAGATGTGACCTCCTGAGGTCCCTTCCAAGCCTCATTTTCTCTGAAAGTCAAGAAAATTAAGCCAGGTGTGACATAAAAATGCATCATTTCACTTAGTTTAAACCCTAAGGCAGGCGCTCATTCAGAAGCAAAATGACCTGAGTCCACTGTAGCCGGATTCTCCCAAGAACAGGCTTACACTGCAAACTCTTGCTGACGAACTGCAGCTCCCAACTGGCAAACCTGTGCATGACTGACTTTGCCGGCATGGTTCGTTTTGCTTGTGGGCAAAACACAAGTCATCCTGACAAGAGCACAGGTCTAAAATAATAAGGTGCCCACCTTACACGCACCTGTCCAAAAGCTACTCTACGGACAAAGCCCTCTTAGCAGAGAGCGGGCCTAAGGCCACGTGACCTATGAGAGAGCACCCACTCAGCAGCACTTTTGCTTCACACCTCGTGCTAAGACACTTCATTTAGCAGAACAGCAATATTTTCAGCATTCATGCAACACTGCAAGCCAAAGTCAGGTATGTAGTACATGCACATGCAATAACCCAGCTACATAGAGGACAAAAAACCTTAGGAAATATTTATAGCCAATAAATGGTACCTCAAACTGCAAAAGCCATGCCTCATTCCCTGTGCATCACAGACACTTCATAAAAGGTGAATGCTATTCCAAATACGTGAGGCTGCTTGCACCCTCATAAAGCACACGCTAAACAGAGTAGGGCTCTTCTCATCTTGCCTTATTCGTGGCAGAGGTATGGATTTGAAGGAGCCCTCGCCTCATCCACCACACGCTTTGCATAGGCATGTGTGGGCTCTAGTGCAAACTGCTTTATGCAGCTCCGCAAGATACGTCATCAATGTGTCTAAGGCTGCAGGGGGGGAAAAAAAACTACCTAATTATTTGAAAAACAGAACGCAATCATATAATTAGGGGTGGCATCACAACGCATGTGCACAAAGGCCAGCAGCAAAGCTCTGGGGGCAACTCTAATTATGACACTTCCTGATTTTTGACAGCTCCGTTGTGCAAGCTTAGTAAAGTCAGGGGGTGAAGGAGATCTCGAGTCAAATGGGATTATTTCCCAGCATCAGGCCCTGAAAAATAAATCAATGTAAAGGTTTTTAAAAGTGAGCAAGTCTCACGCCGGGGCAATATGCTTGAAAGCAAGTGCATTCGCTGAAGTACTAGCTGACGTAAGGGTGAGAAGAATCAGCCGTGATGTCAGATAGGAAATGCTAAGAACCATATGACCGCACACAGCCACAACAACTAAAACACCCTCCTTGTGCTGAAAACCGGGGAGAAGAGAGAATAAGGCCACATTCCTCCGGTCGTTTGCAACGCTAGTAAGTCTGTCATAATTAAATAAAAAACAAACTTCAAGACACAAGGTAAATGAGAGTCAGACACGCTAGAACCGATGGAGGAGGGCAAAATGGATGAAGCAAAAAGCAAGAGAGATTAAAAGATTAGAAATGTGAAAATAAAAGTCTCCCCATGTTCTGAACAGGAAATTGCGAGTAGTTATTTGAAAAAAAAAAAAAAAAGAGAGAGAGATCTTGGACGAATTAAAACTTCGGAGTGGAGCATTTTTTTTTCTCCAATTGTTATCGGTACCGACATATACCTACGAGTCCCAATTATGGACCAGGCCCCGCTGTGCTGGTGGGGCTGTACAAACTCAGGGGGAAAAAATGAAGGAGCTCAAATTCCCCTTTGAATACAAGAAAATGCTTTGTTGATCAGCAACCTTTAAGCCATCTTCTCTGTCTCAGCAATGCCCCGGCCCCACCAAGATTGACCAGCTCTAAAAACAAACCGCTGACCCCCCAAAATATCATCTGCATCCCCTTTACCAAAGCTGTTTGGGCTGCAGGAACCAGGTGCTGGACTTCCAAAAGGTGGGGAAGGATCAGACACCGGCAAAGCAACCTGCCCCTGACTTAGCCCAGGCCACACGCATGTGGGAGGGGAGGGCACTAGGTCTCTACCCACCCATGCTCCCTCTGCTCGCTGCCAGCTCCGCTCAGAGCACACGGGGATTTCTGTGGCAGCTGCCGCCGCCGCCGCCGCGAACCGCAACACCCAGGTGCTCGCTCAGTCGACGCAACCCATGTGCTTCGGCCCCTGCCTGGCTCCAAAGCCACTTCCGCGGGGTCAGCCGGTGCCCTGGTCTCGGGGAAGACGAGGCAGCCGCCCCTGCCCTCTGCCTGAGCCCGGATTAGGGGGCCACACGCGTCTCCCGCCCTGCCCCTTACCCCAGATCAAGACGGCACGCACCTTTCCTACCCCCCCCCCACATTTTATCCCACATCAGGGGGGCACCCCCCTGCCTTACCCCGAATCAGGGG